TAGGAATCTTTGTGAGTTCATTGTGGAACAAATCAAGAGTTTGAAGTTTAGTCAAATTTGCAAATGAACTGGGGAGCTCTGTAAGGTAGTTGTTGTTCAACCTTAATTCAATCAGACTAGTAAGATTGCCAAAATCATCAGGAAGAGTTTTTAGGTAGTTTTGAGACAGCTGAAGGTACCAAAGCTTAGACAGGGAACAAAATGAGGGAGGCAGTCTTTGCAGACGATTTTGACCAAAATCAACCCATTCCAAATTTTCTAGATAACCAAAGTTTTCTGGCAACTCCACTAACTGATTCTCATCTAAATGCAACTTCTGTAGGTTCAACATCCATCCAAAGCTACTTGGCAGTGTTAAAAGCCAGTTTCCATTTTGAAATGCCCTTCTTTCCAGTTCACAAATTATACTTCCAAGCTTCAGCTTCTCCAGCTTCTTTAAGTCCCCTATAGTTTCTGGTAAGTTTGAGATGTTGTTTGCAGAAAGATCCAGAGTTTTCAATGTCTTTCCAGATGCAGTTCCAAAGGAATCTGGAAGAGGATTTCCTGACAACTCATTGTCTGCTATTCCTAGATTCTTGATGTGACTCAACTGTCCAAACCAAGCAGGCAAGGACTTCAGATAGTTATTGTCAATAAAGAGATTTTCTATGGTGTTGGCAGAATGAAATTTTTCTGGTAGATTTTCAATCTTGTTACCACTTAGGTCAAACATCTTTAAATTAAGTAGGTCTCCCAGTGAGTGTGGTAGATTAGACAAGTTGTTATGGCTTAAGTTTAAGATTTCTAGCTTGCTCAGTGCACCTATATCCTCTGGCAAGCTTGTCAGATTGTTATCTCCCAACTCCATTACCTTTAGATTCCTCATACGACTGAAAGACTCGGGTAGGGTTGTCAGGTTATTCTCATCCAGCCGCAGTTCCGACAGACATTCCGCAAGTCCCTCCTTCCAGGATTCGATTCCATTGCCAATGGCGTCCAGAATTTGCAAATGCTGCAGCTGCGCTAAAAAGGCAGGCACTTCGTGTAAGCAGTTCTCGTTTAGGTGAAGTGATTCCAGTTCTTTTAGCTCTACCATAGTATACGGTAGTTCTTTCAGCTGGTTACCCGTTGCGGATAGTTCTTTCAATGAAAATAAGACAGAAATCTCGTTTGGTAAGTATTTCAAATCATTGTAATCGACGTTCAAAATGGTGACATGACGGAGTGTTTTAGATAGAATATCACACGGCAAAGAGTCAAGATCCAAAGAAGACAAATCTAAATTCGGATCTCCATTCAAAACAACTCTTTCCAGGACATTTTTTGCTTTTTCCATCGCCAATATATTTCTCTTGGTGACATTCACAAAGAATCAGTGTTTTCCGGCGCTCACACGTGAGTTAGGCTAGCCTCGATTTCGCATTAGAGCTGGTCTAAGAATCTGACGAGGTGGGGGTGGGGGTGTGGATGGAGGCGTAAATTTACTGGTCTTGCCTTCTCCCCCGAGATAGCCACTAGAACAGGGTGATAGGGGAGATACTTGAGATTAAGACAAAGGAAGAGAAATTGGAGGATTTTTTATAGCTTTCTATGATTTCCAGGGTTTAGTCTCGGTATTTCCGTCACGCAACACTCTTATGGAGAGAAAACCTTAGACCCCTGACAAACTTTTTAAGGTTGGTGCTTTTTTTAATCAAAAACCAAATTTATATGTGAGAAATTTAGGATTGCGTGACGAGACCAAATGAAGAAACTTGTAGTACTTGGAGAACTCCGGATATTTCTTGCTTTTTCTTTCCGTATGTATGACAGCGTCCATCCGTTTCATGATAAATTTAACAAAGACACTCCAGTTCAAGATTATTTGGTCATGTTTATCTTTTCTCTTAACAGTAAACGTGAACAAAAATCTAAAAATTTTTAAGGTCTCAAGAATTCAGAAGAGCGTCACTTCCTGTGCCAAGGTCCTACCGGCCGAGAGAGTAGTTCAGGTCTGGGAACGAGAATAAATGTAAAGAAACGAGGCTCTGGGTCGAGTAATGATGGCGACGAATTTGTACGGCAGCAAAGAACCTTTTTCGCGTTTTTAACGAAGTCTCCTCGACGGATTAACCCTTATCTTCAAATTTCGACTATTTTTGAAATATTTCGCTTAGAGATTCTTGTTTGTGGCGGCAAAAAATGTTTAAGCATGAGTTTCAAGTAAGTAAATTAGCATAGTGCGGCCAAATCGGTTAGCTTGCATGGTTACATATTTTTCAAACCAAGCTTGATTACTGTAACGTTTTGTTATTTCTCTTTCGATTCGTGTAAATAGGGTGGCTCTTACGTGGAAGTTTTCAGTGCTCAAGGACGAGACCCGGTCGCAAAATGGAGGCTGAGTGGAAGTGCTTCAACCAAAAACAAAGTTTACGATAAGGACGTAAAGAGTTTTGTTTACATTTTGGAGGGCGAGACAACCACAACGAAAATGAGCTTACCTAAAGACGAGAAGCAATCGTTAGGACTTACACAGCGGTATTTGGTTTTGCAATTATATGTGCCACTGGGGCACTCGTTTTCTTTAGAGTTTGGTGTTTCAGACAGCTCTGGAAACAACAAACGTCGCATTCTGCTCTCCTCAAATCACAGAGAAATCACGATAACACAACTTCACGCGCGATTTCCCCTTAACATCCTTCGCCTTGGTGTCTGGTTAAATCTTTGTTTTGATCTACGATCACTGGTAGGAGAAACGTTCAAGGGAGAGTCTTTTAATGCTCTGGAAAACTTGACAATTTCTGCGAGTTGTCGTTTAAGGAAAATCTTCACAATGAAGTTGCAACCGTTAGATACTACGGACGACGATGAACTCTACAATTGCGAGAATACAAACAGCGGAGAGTCAGACAATATACCCAAATCACTTCAGCTCTCGACTTCACCAGACATCCTTTATTACACACAGGTATGAGTACTGTTTTATTTTTATTCTTTTTGTTTACGTAGCTGGTTCAGTGCAGGCTTACTGTAATATACTTGTATTAACGTTTAATATGCGGTGACTGAAAGCGCTATTAAACCTATTCATGTTGGACTGCTCCTGTGGTTTGGACCATAATTAATTTATCGACGGTAATTGTCTCCCTTGCTTCATTTTTACACCTTGTTTTGTGAATTATGTCTTGCTGATTAGAAATGTGTTAGACGTGATTTAACTGCCGGTGGTATTTTTACATTTTGTTTTTGAAATGGTTATTTTATATTTGAAAAGGGATGACTTATTGCCTTGTCACAAACCAGGGATAGAGAAAAATTCTGAGTTCCCGTAAGGAATCAAAGCCTTTGCACTCTGAATTTCTCAACCACTGAGCCACAGAGTCTGTTACTATTAGTAGGTTCACATGCTGATATATTTTGGAAAAAAAAAATATTGGTGTATCTCGTTACTTTCAGCCAATGTTACATGTAAGGCAGTTATGGTCAGCACTCCATAAATATTTTCAATAAATGTGATTTCATAAACTAAAATGCCTTTCAGCAAGTACTTGATGTTTCGGTTTTAGATAAAATGATGACTAAGTAAATACATCTTGCAACAGCTTTGATTTCAAGATTGAGGTATAAAAAATTTTTTTCCTTCTTTGGTAGGATTAAATTTTCCTCATCCTATGAAAACAAATTTGTTGTATTTTTTCTTCAAGGTCATCAATATGACCAAGATATTACAGGCAGAAATCAAAGCAAGAGAGAGAGCTGGCCTCCCTCCGCCTTCAACACCAATCCTTACTGAAGCTGATGTGTCAGGACACAAACCAGAAGAACAACCCACGCATATTGCATTTGGCTCAAAAGTTGTTATTCCTAAACATGCAAGAAAGTCTTCTCGTGAAGGAGGAGCATCTTCTGCAGGTGGCCGATCTTCTTCAGGATTAAATCACAGTGGCTCAATCCTTCAGTTAACATCTGTTTCACCCGCGCTTGAGCCTGAAAGTGGACGTGAAAGTAGTGGACTAACTCATAGACTTCCATACCAGAGGTCCTTATCAGATGCTACTTATTTTCAATCAGAATCTTCCAGTAGCCAGTTAGAGGTGGAAGCTACTCAAACAACAATGCAACCCAGACCACCAAGAACTGGCTCAGGTGGGAAGACGCGGAGAAGGCCATTGAGAATCAAACATCCTGGAAGTTCCAAAGTTCGCAATGGGGATAACACAAATAATACTGACAAGGATAACACAAGCAATACTGTTAAGAATGGTGTGAATGGTTCCTCCACTTCAAAGGACAATGTCTCTGATGATCAGGAGTCTATTTCTAGATCACAAAGTGAGAATTCACTGAAGATGTCAGGCGATGATAGTAGCCTAGCAGCAAGCTTTAAAAAACTGTCAATAAAAATTCCTGATAGGGATCAAAATGGCAATGCCAATACTGATCCTGCTAATTCACAAGAACAGACAGCACCGACGACAAAAATTGAAAAAGAGTCTCTTTTCACTTTCTCATCTAGACCTAGATCCGCACCCAGATCACCTCGGGGTCGACCACGTAAAACTTCAGATTATATTCCAGGTATGACACCTGCTGAAGAAAAGCCAGAGATTAAAATTTCATTACAAGAATCTGTGGATTCTAAAGACCTAACAAATAAATCACAGAATCGATTGCGCAAAGGCAGTGATAGATCAGAGTATGATGATGACTTCTACAAAGCTTCTGGAGAAAGTTCAGCTGAGGAAGATGATTTACAGAACTTTTTGAAAGCAAGTGGAAATTCAAGGTGCAGCTCAAGAGGATCAAAATTGAGCCCTCTGGAAAGTCCATTACCAAGCCCTGAGCCTGATCCTTTGTCAAATTCACAGATCTTGAGAATGAGTATCAGAAGTAGCTTGTTGAAGGAGGTGAGTGAAGACTTAAATGAAATCCAAGTGAAGGATTGACTAAAAGAGGTCATTCTTCAGCTAGCCTGTATATCAGTAAATCTTTTGGTTATTGCATAGTGTTTCATCAAAATTGACACATATCTTAACCAGACTTTACAGTTGACAACTATTTGCCAAATATATAAGAGACATTAATTTTTCTGCCCAGAAAATAGGGCATGAAATTAAGTGAAAACAGATAAGACATAAATGAGACATCTGACAATTTTTATGTTTTGTTCAACCAAGGATGAGACAAGGTTGGACAGATCTGGTATTAAAAAATAATACATGTTTGGAGTTATAGGAGAGGTATTTCTGTCAGTACATGCCACTTCTGCACATGAATACAGTGACTACATTTAGGTTGTACACTATAAAAAGAATACAGATGTTTTTTTTTTTTTCTGGGCAGGGCTCAGGCATTGATTAATTGGCTTCAAAATGGTGATTTGATATGTCAGAAAGTATGAAATTGTAAGTTATAATTGTAGTCTATTAATTTTTTCCTCTCTCTTTTTTTTTTACTTAAGATTCCTTCACCACGCAAAAGCAATGCAAAGCCATATGATGCAAGGAATTACCAATCTGATGCAAACTCGTGGCGGAATGTTCAATCAGATGCAAGTTCTTGGCGATTTGACACATCTGCCATGAGTAACAACATGTTAGACAAATCCTTGGATAGATCATTTAACAGCTCTTTTGGACATGATAGTGGAATATTTAGAGAACACTTGAATAGTAGTGGAACTGGTTCTGAAGACATCATTGTTAATGATGGAGGGGATTCCCTTAGTGATTCTAGTGATGATACAACATACAGTACATGGAAAGGACCACCTCCCCCTGACAGGAGGATACACCGCTATTTAGATGAAATGAGGGTTAGTAAAATGGTGTTAGTTTGGCAAGGAGGAGGTGGGATTGAATTTGTCAAGAATTAGAGCTTCCATTCTGAAAATTTCAAATCTGTAGTGTCTGTGGTAAATTAATGCTCACATGAATTGCTGCACATACTAGCTATTAATCCAGTGTGACCGGATAAGTTGGAGACAGTTTTTAGAGGCCCATACCACAAAACATCCTAAAAGGTTAGGGTATTGATGGAGTTAAGAAACTATCTACAATAAAACTGTGCCACAACTGGAATTGGATGTTGGACATTGAAGCAAACTGAAATTTCTAGGGTGGGCAACTGGGGTGGGGTTTGCCAAAGCAAAAAAAAAATTGATACTGCAAGTTCTGGTGGGTTATTTAGTCAACATCTTTTAGAATGATGCTTCATCTTATTCACTTCACTCATCAACTCCACCTAAATGTACAGTGAAATAAATATGTATTTCCTAAGCCTAGAGTCTGGTTCACCCTTGGGAGAGATGTGTCCCTGGAGTAGCATTTACATTTTACATTACCTATGTGAAAAACACATAAAAGCTGCAGGAAAGCATCATGTGACAACAAAAGGATAACAACATGAGGAAAGGAATGAAATGTTTTCAAATTTTGGTTGTTCTGTTTGGCCCGACCCTAACCAAAAATTTTTTCTGTCTTCTTTATCTCATCAGTTTTACTTTTAATCTAAAAGGAAAGTAGTAGTTTGAACTGTTGTAACATGTGTTTTGCACTTATTAGCACCCAGGACCAGAGCCAGATCTTACAGCCACATTACCGATGGATCCAAGAGAGTATTCGAATGCATTCAGTCCACCAATTGTACTACCCAGTCAAAAACGGAGCACTGGTAAGTAAAACACTCCTCTTGAGATGGCAGTGATCTATAGTAACGAGATGTTATTCTGCCCTTGCCTTTTCACTCACATGATCTTATTAGTTATTCTCCTTACTGTCTGCTATATAATTGTTTTGATGTCAGGTACAGGGTCAACTAAAAATCCACCAATTCTTGTTTTTCTTATATGGTTATTCTCATCACTTGTCTGCTTGATGTTGTATTAGTATTGAAAAGAGAAATTCTCTTTTGGTCACTCACGAGAGTTAAAAATGTTATTTTTTTTCTGTCAGTGACACAGGGGAGGTATGCTTTGTACATTGTACTCACGCATATGGTTCACTCATTTATTTCTCATTATAATAAAAAACTGTCAGTCAGGTTGTAATAAATCTACGGCTAAAGTTCTGCACCGTTTGAGATCTCTAGTTATTGCAATCCTGTCCTGTAATCAACACTTAACACTCTTGTTTATTTAACACAGCCAGATTTATCAAAATGTTACGGTAAGTTGTAGAGTTCTTAAGGAGAGATGTGATGCAGGAGTTTCACTAACTTTTCCATACGTGATTTCCAATGGCATAACAGACAGTTGTACCAGCAAAAGGGGCTGAAAGGAAAAACCCAAACACGAACCTGCACCTAGGCTAATCATACAGCGGTACAAGGTCTTGTAGGTGGTAATAGACTGGCACTGACAGGCTTTTATTTAAACTACTATGATGGTTAAAGATGCATACTTCCTCAAGACAATTATTTGTTTTACAGCTGGCCAACAGGAGGCTCTTTCAGCTGCCCTATCACCACCAAGAAGTCGTAATCCAAGCTGTAGCATGGACCACAACACAGCAGATGAAGAGGAGTTGGATTTACTTTATGATCCATGTTTGAACTGTTACTTTGATCCCAGAACTCACAAGTATTATGAACTGGCATAGGACAACAACTGACTGCTCAACTGAACATTTAATGTACATGTAGTTCATTCTGGGTCGTTTTGTGAAGCAGTAAAACTAGTTACGGTGTTGAAGACAGATAACATATCTACCCCAGTTATAACCGACTGCCTTGAAGCAGAATCCCGCACAATGGTGGCGGTCATCTTGTAGGCAGTAAATTAAAGCTTGACGTTTTCAAACGGCAAAAAGCCAAACAGCAAGCGATCCTCAAATCAACCCTACATGAAAATAGCACAACACATCTCTTGTTCTGTGCCAATCCAAATGTTTGCGTTTTCGAAACAAAGGCAAGCGGTTCTTGATCGTAGTTGATACACTCCTAGTGAGGTGTTGTCGTTTTTCTTGCAATACAGTCTCTTCTATTGTGGTGTATCCACAAGGACGTGCATAGATCATGAGAAAACTGCAATACTTCATTGTTGCTTTCGTATTAGTGTACAATCAGCTGATAGCAAACGTCGAGATGTTCAACATTTTCCAGTATGCCGTAACATCACAACGCCCTCCAAATTGATAATTACAGCAATACAGCTTATTTTCGCGGGCGTAAATATGTTTTGGGCCCTTCTCAGAGTCATTTTAAACCTCGTTAGATGGCTCGGGCTAAAATGACACGTGAGTCGGGACCCTAAACATATTTATGCCCGTGAACATAAGCTATTTTCTTTTTATTAGTTGCCTTGTGTGAAAATGAAGTACCAGGTGCCTTATTGTTCAGTAAACTAGTAAAACTAGTTTCTCAAATTATTCTATTTATTATGTTTTACATACGATTATGTATTTGTCAATGCTCATATCAACTTGGTACAAGATCATTCATATTGTAAATACTTATAAGTGTGATGTGATTTTCCTGTGCATTTGTCCATTTTGAAGTGAGTTATCTTTGACTGTGTGAGTTTCTTATTGTGGATTGTCATCACAAACAACTTGCCGGTCATTTTCCTCTCTGTCCTTCGGCAGGGTTTGTGAAATAAGTGAGAAAATGATTTCAATAAAATTCAGTTGCTCTCTTTTGTGAAAGAGATATATTCGCATTGACTTGTACAGCCGTGTCAAAAGAAGACCACGAGCAGCGCCTTTAAGGCGAAATACGTCGCGCGAGGCAAAAAAATTCAACAAAAATGGATGTTCGCGCGTCATATCTCACCCTGGGAATTCCGCGCTAACATCAATTTATTTTTTCGCTGATTTTTTTTTTACTTACTTGACGGATTTCGCCAGAAAAATGAGACTGTTCGTTGTTTATGTCGAAAGGTAACCATTGCTCTTGATTATAGATTCTCCACCTATCCCTCCCTGAAGATATCGTTTGGTAACTTTCTGAAAGGAAAACTTATCTGGCGGTTTTCTGCAATTTAATAAAATCATTTAGCTTGTTATTTCTCGTCGTTTTGCTTTAAAAAGGCTTTAGCCAGTTCAGGATTTTCCTCCATCCACTTTTCAGCGGTATTTTCCTTCAGCCAGTCACTGTTTTGTATTTGCTGGTGTAATGTTCGAAGTAAATCCTCGAGACTTTCACCATTCTCGCTTTCTACGAAGCTATTACTTTCTTCTCTCTGAGCAAGGGCAGCTCTCTCATCCTGCTTCGAAGCCAGACCAGCGCGGACCTCCCTCACAGTTTGCTGAATTCTGCTTAAACCTAAGTAAGAGGAGTTATTTAGTATTAAAGTGTGTAGGTGAAACAATCTTCGCCAGCAAGCAAGGCATCTTGAGAGCAGTAGTGCGCGCAATTGCCACCAACTTCTTTACTTAGTTGCGCCTCTAAGACTTTTTTATAGAGCTTTCTGCTAAGCTAATCAAAGTTTTATTCAGAGGATTATCATGGCGAGGACAAAGCTGGCAGACGATTGGCATGTGGGAATCTGCCTTGACTGGCCCGAATTCACACCCAAGGGTCAGCACACTTACAGTGCCAGAATATTCTAGGCGACTACTAACAATTCCCTCGGGGATAACCTGCGATAGAACAGCATGCCATTCAAGTGGAATAGCAATACACCCAGCACCTTTATTCTGTAGAAACTGGAACGCGGCGGGGTATGCTAATGTGGGTGCAAAAAAAGAAAACTCCACGAGAAAATGAAATAATACTCCATTAATGCAATGTGCTGAATACTTCTCCGGAGGGCTGCGTTAGTTCGTTTAGAAAACCGTCACTCTCTCTTCCCTTAGATTCAATAACTATTCCAATTAATGTATATTAGAATACACACAAAAGCAACATAGCTTTTTATATTGTTATTTCCTGTCTTGTCTCTCTTCATCCAGGCGACAGATAGTCACTTACAACAAGCTCACCTAGTTGAAGAATATCCGTCTCCATGGCGAATATTATTCTAAACCAACCGAGTTCTGGACAACGAAAATATGACCCAGGAAAGATGAATACACCATGTGTTATCATGCAGTCTAACAAGTGCATTTCATCTTCAAAGGATGATGTTAGAAGTAGCTAAAAGATAAAGAGACAGTACAATAATAAGTATTCCTGTTCTCTAAACTTCCAGCGGGCATCCACGCTCTGCATGAACCAACAGTCCATTTTACAGTTGCGTACTTGGTCGCCAAGCCTTTGAACAGGAGTGAGGCTAAGGTTGACCTTGTTATGATACAAACGTTGCTGTTTTTCACATGTAAATTACTTTGTCATCATACTAACGAGATACTGGTCTCTATCACAACATGGTCACCTTCAGCCTCACTCCAAATCAAAGGCTTGGCAACTAAGAACACAACTGTAAGATGGCCTATTTTTAAATAAATCACACGATGTTTTAATAAATTGTATTAGTCAATGTGTATACCTCCCTAAAGTCGACCCATATAAACAGTCCACATTCTCCGGGGAGGAACGGAATACCAACTTCTTCAAGAGCATCACAAGCCATCTTGTAAGCATTTCGAAGCCGTTGTCTATTTGTTGGGAAAAACGTTTTATCTAACCATTCTGTAAACCATACGAATAAAAAAAATTAGAATCACACCTTTAATTTGCTTCAAACTAAGAGTTTTGCTCTCTTTTCATGTTTTACTTCGGAAAGAAATACATTAATTTCCCTCTTTCGTTTCCTTTCACATAATTTAAAGTGCTGTGCATGCACAATTCTCATACCAAGCATGAGGCTGCGAGAATGACATGTAAAAAACGTCAAACCTTAAACGGTTTGGGTAGGACTGTTGTTATTATACGTTCGTTATTAACTCGAAAAAAATCCCCAACCCTGCCCAATCAAATAGCAACGTACTAACCTTTATCCTTGATGAGATTTGTAAGGAGAACCTAAGGGAAAGGTTACATCATAGCATTAGTGGAAAGCGAGGTACTGAGATATGTTCTGATTGGCTGTTCTGATAGTTTGATTTTGGTTTTACAACACTCGCCCAAGGCTCTACTGAGCAACTGGTCAAAACTGTAACAGCTTAAAACGTAGATAATCATAAAAGAGGAAAAAGACACAAGAACCTTGTCTTTGGGTGAACTTAAAAAAAACTTTGGAGCGAATATTACCAAAAGGTTATCTCCTCTAGTGAATGGCAAGTTTTATGCAAAGTTCAAGTTTGTTGTCGTATAAGCTACAATGAATGGACAAAAGTCTTCGCGTCCTTCTTTTGTAACTTTCATCTATCTTCCCCTCTCCCATTTCAATGTTGCCCTTTGCAAACAAAGTGCTCATTAGTTCCTTGCAACATTGTTAAGAGATAAGGAGGAATTTCCAAGACAATGATTGGCGACGAATTACAAGACTTCTGTTTATGATGTCACGTGGAGGGTTGTCATCCACCTACAAACTAAAGGGGATGTGTGCTAACAACTTTTGCTACTCATAGTAGTCTGAACCATCTGTCCTCATCAAAGTTTATCTCCACCTTACTAGTGTTGTCCCATCTTGTAAGTTGGTATTTTCAGGTAAATTCATAGTATTTTTGGCGAACTAATATATCACTTAAATCAAGATAGTGTCTTTACTCGTCATTCCAAATAACAGAGAATTGATTCAGTAACCATAACTTGCCTGTGTTTGGGCTGGTATATCATGGAATATTTGATATCCTGAACTTATGAGTCTGAAAAGTTCTTTGTTTAACGTGTGAAGAACACCGCAGCGAAATCCAGATATTCCAAAATCCTACAAATTTATAACAGTCAAATCAATGAGGGCGAATGTAGGTGCGTACGAAAGATTCCGATGAACATGCATAGAGGTCTTTCCTCAGAACCAGTTCACATTATTCTTGCACTCCCTTACTGCTTCCCATTTTTCCCGCGCTTGAAACTGGTTTCAAGTTATAACCAAACACTTAGTTATTCCCGCGCTTTTTACCGCTTACATGCTTTTCCCGCGCTAGACACCAAATTCGCAATTTTCCGTGCCTAGCACTTGCTACTTGTTCTCCCGCGCTTGAAACCGGTTACACGCAGCGCATGCTCTGGAGCCATTACAATATCAAACGATATCAAACACAAATGGGTTTTCAGTTCTAGTCCCTCTCAAACGATCCCAAGTAAGTCACTCATTCAGTCATTTCACAAAAAAATGTTTTTCTGTTCTCTTTTGGCCGTTTCTGTTTCTTGTCCAGTGTTGAGGTTCAAAAAAACCCGTTACATGTAGCCTGTTAGAAAACTTTCAAACATCCCTTCAACATTTGTAGCTTTACTGAGCACTCTCTATTCGCTGAAGCACTACATACGAATTCGCCATTCAATTTACACTACCTTACTAAAGCCCCACAGGACGTGAACCATCTCCTTGTCTGGAATGCTGCAAGAAAAGAACAGACACTCGAGGTCGATTATTTACCCGTATACTCAGTGCAATTTTCAATTGAGCGTCATAAAACCAAATAAAAGTAATCCCAATGACCATTCAGAAAAAACTTTTACACAAACATTAGCCAATGAGAACTCGGAGTGAAAACAAGCAAACTGCTTGAAGCGCGGGAAAACGCAAATGTCCGAGTTGCGATGGTTTTCAGTTTACATTTTATTAGTTGTGAGGATGACGCGAGTTTTCCAATCACAGAGCAAAGTAAAGTAAAACCAATGCAATCCCGCATTACTTTCGACACTCGATTAAAGAATGATCCATATCAATACAAAAAAAAAAAAAAAAACGCTTACTTGATTGTCTCCTCAACCGGAAACCACAAGCCTAAGACCTTATCGCTTCCAGACTAGCTAATCCTAGGTTTCCCTAACCAGTCCCCAACAATGCTCCGTTTCCTAACATTTTGATACTACGGTTTGGTGAGAGAGAAGCGTTGTGAAAGTAAAGTGCCTCGAACAAGAATTCAACACAATGGCCCCGAAAAGAGAGAGGAGAAAGTTAACATACCGAAAATCGTGTTTGGGGATGCAGCCAAATCATGTAAATTCTTAGCAAAGACACCGATGAAAGCCACCAGCAGCGAAAAAATATCGTATCAAGAGAAAAACCCTGCACAAGTGACTCACTTTTTTAAACTCATCACATTTGTCACAGAACAACCCTCTCTGTATCCGCACATCATGTATATCTCGTCTACGATGACATGTAGAGAATGTCTAAAACAGTAAAGAAATCACAAGTAAGCTTTCATACTCCAACAAAGAAGGAAATCTAAGGAATTTTTTAACATCGGTTTCATTTTCCCAATAAATTAGAAATAGTTTGTTCGAATCAAGGATCTAACCCTAAGATTCCCATTTCAATGATCGTTGTGATTCCACTCGCAACTGTGTTCCTTTCCTTTTTGTGACCTTCGCAATTCGCAATATCCTATTCAGTTCTTGAGTGAAGTTAAGTGAATTAGTGTTTGTACCTGCGCAACTGCGCAGTTACCCCTCCCCTAACCTAAAATTAACGCAACCTTGTCATCAGTTGACTGTTGTTGGGTCAGGGGAGGGGTAGGTGCGCAGTTGTTCAGGTACTGACTAAGCCCAACAATATACATCTATACTTCATTTATACGCTCGCAAACCAGAGTCCCCTACTCTGCCCCAACGATGAGCAAAACACCAGCTTTTCTGTGACTTGCTACAGTA